ACACACACACACACACACACACACACACACACACAAAAAGAAGGGATGGTCTATTCAACAGTGTGTGTCTCCTGTGCCACACGCATGGACTCTTTCATATTAAAATGCACAAGCTACTGCTAACCTTTCAGCCTTGCGAGTGCTTTATCACTTCAACAAAAGCCACCATCTATCTGTCTTTTTTCTGATTTTTCATGCTTATTCACTCTGTGCTCCCCTTGTTAAAAATGCATCGGGTCCCTCACATGCTCGATTAAGCCGTTCCCTCCCCCTGTCTCATGCTAAACTCTAATATTGTTACACTGCATGTAAATAGCTAGCAGGGTAATTTGCCGTGCCAAGCAGGCGCCCCTCTTCCACACACACACACACACACTGAATAAAGACCCTGTGATCATTAGAGCCAAACAGTGTGCCTTAGTCACACTCACACACATGAGGAGCACCAGGTGAGCACTTCATCGCGTCCAGCTTTAGATGAAGTGGCTGCGTTGCTAATGGGACAGTGCCATGCTAATGTAAGGCACACTGAGGTAGTGAAGAACACACAGTCTGACTTAATGAACGAGAGCGGGAGAGGACAGGAGACACTGGAGCTCAAAACATCTGGAGCCGCTCCTGCCTGGAGCACAACCTGTTGTCTATCCGGAGAGAGGCGGGACAAGAAGAGGAAAAGGAGAGAGTGGGAGCCATGGGACAGAGAGAGAGATTTCTCTCTTATATTTCCAATAAGGTCAAGAGAATGAAATGGTGATGGCAGGATCAGTATGGTTTGTGCAAAGGCTCCATGACGTGTCCATTTATTTTTTCAAAAATACATTAAAAATTAAGTTAATCATATACACCTCTTATATGACGAACATTTTCAATTAAATTTCTGAATTAATTAATTTTGTTATTTTTTTGTAGGGCAAAATTGCCAAGGTGGAGTAATAAAGTCTCATTAAAAGGCTAAAATAAATGTATTTATTTAAATCTATTGTTTAAAAGTATAATAAAAAATAATCTAAAAATATATTTGTAAAGTGAATAAGAAATTAAGCAAATTTGTTCAGATTTATTTATAACAGGATATTATGTTTATTTAAATAACTTTGCCAAATCAATATTATTTTAATATCATTAAGATACTATTATAGTTTTTATAAAATGTTTTATTTTAATTAACATTATGTTAGTAATTTAGTTGTGTTGTTTGTGTTTTTGTCCCATTTTATTATTATTTTTTTTTTTAACCATGTCTATAGTTTTAAATTTTTATTTCAGTTTATTTCGTTTTAGTTATAAAAGAATACAAAGTTAAAATAAGTGAAAATGAGAAAGTTTGCCATGGCAACTATCTGAAATAAAAGAAGTTTAAGTTTTTATACTTTATTTTAATAACGTTTATTTTATTTCAAGTAACCGTGTTTTTTTTTTTTTATTGTATGGTTTTAGTTTTAATTAACTATAATAACAACTCTATACCAAATCAAAGTTAATGTGGCACAACCAACATGTAATCGTGTCAAGAAAACCATAAAACAGTACATAACATTACAGTATGTCAAGGTCAGAAAGCCTCCTAAAAATATGATATAAATGACCTTTTTATGACATGGCAAGATTAGTTTGTGTTGTCAAATGTAACAATCCCAAGAACATTTCATGATATATGTTTTGTTAGAAAACTATTTCAAGAAAATTATTTTCTAGACTTTGAAACTTTGTTTCAGATTGTAATCAATTCTAACTTGATGACAACAAACTATTCAAAAAAATAAATAAACTTGAAAATTAAAAACCTGAAAGAAAATCTGAAAAAATGTGTCAAACTTTAAGTTAATGAAGATGTTTACACTTTCTTATATATAAGTTAGGAAAATTAATCATTTTTAAAACTTTGTTTTTACACTATTTGAGATTTATGATAGCCATTACATTTTCTGAATGTTCATAAAAGTAGAAAACCAAAATGAAAACAGATTGCTAGGAAACCTTTCCTCCTTTTCATCATTGCGGATATCTTTATTTGTCATTGATCCGAGAACACCGTAAGGATGGATTTAAACGAAGGAATGTGAGCGAGAGAGCGAGTGAACTGAATATTACTCATGAGCAGTAAAGCTGGACGGCTGAAGTCAGGGATGCTCATGAGTCATTAATGAAAGGACATTAAAAGTCTGATCTCATCCCTGATCTCAGCAAAAAACTGCTAACGCCACACAGAAATAACATCCCTCTCTCACTCGGAAGCAATAAACACACACACAGCACAGTCTTGTAAAAAGACACTTAACTTAGTTCGGACGAAAGAACGACAGAGAGGAACAGGGAGAGAGTTAGACAGGAAACTGCCTTCTCGGTTTCCTGCGTGAGACTTACGATTGATGGACACTGCAGTTGTAGAAGACAAAATCCACACTGGCAAACTTCTTCCCCGTCTCCTTGGATTTCAGATAGAGCTTCACCACCCGCTTGTCACCTGCCAGCAGACACACAGTGAGCTTCAGCGCTTTCTAACAAGCGGAAGGAGGCTTTTAAAGGAGTGTGCGTGTGTCACCTTACCCTGGTTGCGCGTGATGGGAGCGATCTCCCGTGCGGAGGGGGACAGGCAATATATACGTCCCCCCATGATGTGTCCCTCCGTCTCAGTGTAGTCCTCAAATGAGCAGTTGACGCCCGCAGCCAGACTGGGGATGTTCTGAGCCTGAAGAACCAGCTGTAGAACCGAACACAGACCAGGAGACAGGAACAGGTTTTTCAGTGTGCTTTATTGGCATGACAAACACTGAACATTTGTACAAAAGACACCTGGACTTTCATATCCAGATACTATCTGGATATTTTTAGCCGCATGGCATCTACACCTCGTTTCCAATGAGTCTCCAGTGTAGACGGAAAGAGATTTGATCACACTTAACAAAAAAAAATGAGGTTACATTACTGAAAGATTTCTGTAATTGATCGACTTTGAAAAATTGAAAAGACAATTCAAAATGTTACTTCTTGCATTTCGTATTGGCTGCACTAACACTGCAAGTCTTAATGCACAGATCTGATCTTTTGATCCGTCTATTTACATTCACTTTAGACACGAATGGCATCCAACATCTGTTTAAATTAATTCCTGCCCAAAAGGATTGTCTGCAGTTATCGCTTTACTATGCACATGGTAGACCCTTAGGTTTTGAATGGCTGTGCTATTAAAATTATTTATATAATACACATTAAGTGGCCATAATTATTTACCAGCATGGACAACGGCTGTCATGGATGTTTTGCAGCACTAAATCTGACTGGATAAATGATGGAAAATAACGGTAATTTTCATTTGTTAGGCTATTTTATCTAAAGCTCGTTTAAGGTAGGATTCTTTAGTGAAATAAAGTAGCGCCAAGATGACATTTATTGAAATTAATTTGAATGAATTAATGAGAGAAAGGAGGAGAGAGAAAACGCGCAAGCGAGTGTGAAGCTTGCGAACAAGTGAAGCTTGTTGGTTTAATTACAAAAACTGCTAAGTTAGCTGTTGCTTTTAGCGGTTGTATTTATAAAATTCACGGGGCAGGGGTTGAAAACCAGCTCCTGAATGTACAATTTCTTATCTATATAAAGTATCCATCTCAATAAAATGCGAGCGCATACAGCACACCGGTATTAAAACACAATCTTTATGGGCAAACGTGTCACCCTCGCATTGGGAGTTCTGCGGGGAATCAGATATGTGTGTTTAGACGTAGGTCGAATGTCCAGATATCGGATATGTATCTGATTTAAAACCACATTTGGAAGTGACTCATATCAGATCTCGTGTGGATTTTTGTGTTTACACATGTGCAAAAAATTCCGATCTGCGTGAGATGTGAGCAAAGAAATCGGATTTTGTGTGCCAGTGTAAATGCAGCCTTATTCCATTTCTAATCTTGTTCATATGGATTAGAAGAGAAGAGGTGACAAAAATGATTTAAAGCAGAGAGAAATTGTGAGATTTCAAGTGAAATCCATGCATTGAAAAATTTATAATTTATCAATATCACTAAATCATTTATATTGAAAATTTTTTTCAATAATTTTCTGAAAATTATTTTAAAAAATCTGAAAATCAATATTTAAAAAAATTATTTATTAAATTTGGTGAACTGTTGTCTTTCTGTAGTGAGAATAAAAATAAAAAGGCAAAAAAAAAAAAAATAAAAATAAAAAAAAATGACTCCGTCATACAGTATATGATTATTTGCAACAAATCTTTTAATATCACTTATGTATATGCAAATGCATTTACATTTAAAACTTCATTAAATGTGGTCAAAATCCATCTCAAACCACCACCCAACATATTTTAAGTGATCCAAAATCACAATCTGATCACAATAAAAGAGATTTTGTACACAAACACTTGCCTGAACTTCAGACATGGTGACTGAAATATTGTTGGGCTGCACCATGAGTCGGACGCACTGCTCCAGTCTGGAGGCGAAGCGCTGGGGCTCATCAGCTCTCTCACAGCGGTCCTTACGTGAACATCTAAACACAAATATTACTCAGCAGGAGGGATAAAATCAATTTCTAAGAATAATCAACCAGGGAGATCAAGCGCATACTTTATTAGTAAGTTGATTAGATTTGGAATAACACTGTGTGGTGTGATGAACAGAACTTCAGTAGTGTTAAAAAAAAAAAAAAAGTGACTTGCACAACATTCAAGGTATACATTTTAGCATTCCCTGGTATCGAACGCACACTTACAGCATTGCTAGTGCCATGCTCTACTTATTACAAACAAGAAAGACAGATACAAATATCTAATAATCAACCTGCCTGATGCTTACAGAGTGCTATGTGAAATCTGAGCACTGCAGTGCAAAACAGAGGTTGTCACGTTCACCATCACAGTCAGCAGGTCAACAAACACACAGTTACTCTTTCACATAGACACCTTGCATACTACATATTACAAATGTCCAACAGAGAGAAGAGCTCCCTGAAACATGCTGAGAAATATTGCCAGCCACCTACACACGTCTACTTTCATATAGTTTTATGCAGCAATCATAATGTCTGACTGGAGACTCTGGAGACTCAATGGCTCTGTTCCAAACCTAGACAGCTGCCTACCACACACACATACAGTGCACAGCATAAATGAGTACACCCCCTCTGAAACTTAACAAATTCAGCAATTACTCTTTGCTTAGAAGACATGTTATGTTTTTTTAGAGATATAATATTCCAGCTAGTCTGCTTGATCAGTTACCAAAGAAGAATGTTAAAATGATTCAAGAAAATACAATTTTCTTATCAAAGGGATAAAATGTTGTGTTGCAAAAATGAGTACACCCTCCTGAAAGTTACTAAATAAAAAATTTAAAAAAATTCTGGTGTAAGGTTAAGGCAAGTATTGATCAACAGGTAAGTATGTTGAACCAAAACTGTTAAAGGTAAGTCATTTCTTGATAATTAAGTGTTATATGGCCCACTGAATCATACTCAGACTTAATGCTGACAACAATGAAACCACCTGAGAGAGAACTGTCAGGAGATTTATTTCTTAGCATCAAAGAGGACAATGGTACAAGAGGAATACCAAATTATTGTTTTAAGTGTGAAAATATAGCAGAAGTAACACAGAAATTCAAAAACAATGGACTTGTGAAAAGGTCCCTGAAATAATCAGGTCTTTACTTTAAGCTTTCATTTAGTAATGAGTGAGTTTTTGCTATAAAATGAGCAGGAGAAACACTGTGAAAGTGTCTTAGAGCCGGCAAAAGCTGTGAAAAGAGTGACACTTTATCTCACAGAGTAAGATGCAGCATGCAGAAGTGACATGCATGGTTGTTTATCCACACCAGAACTACCGACTGTAGCCAAAGCACAATAAACTCATTTAGCTTTTTCCAAGGCCCATATTTACAAAATATAGACTTCTGGGAATCCATTCTCTGGTCTCATGAGACCAATCCAATCATTTCGGATCTAACAGCATCCAAAATGTTCTGGTGTTGCTAGAGCAGGAGTACAAAGAGAAGTGCCTGGTTCCCACAGTGGCATTCAGTGGTAGTAAATCTCTTCTATAGGGATGTATGAGTGCTGAAGGTGTGAGGGAGTTGTACTTTATCAATGCTGGCATGAATTCACACACCACTCTGTGATGTAATACAAAAACCTGAAACTGAAGATGCTACCCTCTTCTCATTCCTTGCATTGTTGGGCTTTTTTGTTTAACCTGACAATGAAGATATTCATTTTCCTGAGCTGAAAATCCTTCAGTGGACATGTATTTCACTCAATCTTAACACTCTTGAGCTGCTGTGAGAGATTCTGTAGAGACGAGCTGAGCAACACTCCCCATTAAAGATCAGGGCATTTAAGGAGGTCGTCCTCCAGGAGTTAAACAGCACAGATGTGAAAATTTGTCATGAACATGTACACGCATCAAATACAAAGTGTTGTGGTAAACTGGTTTTTGGGGTCGGCCATAAAAGAAAGAGAGATCGCAGTTCTTCGTTGGGGTGGGGTGTGTTCGCCGTCTGGAACATTTCAATTAAGCCGTTTTTTCAATCGGACAGTTGAGCATTGTGTCCTACCTCTGCTCTTTGTTTAAACGTCAGGGCTGGAGACTATTATACAGGAGCCATTCATACAAGAAAGAGAGAGCTCTCATTCCTCTTTATTTAAACGGCTGAAAGACAAACCATTCATCTCTCTACAAGAGGAGGAGGAGGATAAGCAAGGGGTATATTAAATATAAATAACATCTGCAAACGAGGCACGAGGCATGTGGGTCACAATGGAAAAGTATCTCAATCAGAGAGCATAGCAACATTCACTCGTGGGACTGAAAGTGTCTTGGACCACACAGAAAAGTTAAGAGACACTCATTTTAACAATAAAGTAAATAAAAATAATCTTTAAATTATTGCCATGACATGATGTTTGTTTTTCAGTACAATAACATATCTAAAAATAAATGAAATGTAAAAATAATAATAAAAAAAATAATAAAAAAAAGGTTGAATTAAAAATAAATGTAACAAATATAATACAAACAATAAAAACTCAATTAAAAATAAAATAAACAAAATAAAATGCTTAACCAAATCTAAAATTAAAAATATATATTGAACTAAAAATAAAACAAAATATATAAAATATAACAAGGTTTAAATGAAATAAACTTTAAAAATAATACTAAATAATAAAAAGAAAAAATATTTTTTTAACTGAATATAATCCAAACAGTTTTTACTAAAAGTAAAAAATATTAAATGATTAATTGTATATAAAATAGTACAGAAAATAAAAAAAGATTGAACTTTATATAAAAAGGTTTAACTAAAATAAAATACATCATCTAAATTAACTCAATAAGTGTGCCACTACTGATTGCTGACACACCTGCAGTTCTCAAAGCTTCGTCCATGAGCCCTGTCAGAAATCAAACACTGAATATCTGAGAAGGCTTGTGCAGATGTAATCAAGGATGGTGTGTTTTCTTTATTCTGTCTGGGGTTTGGACAAACCCAGCGCATGTAATTGCGCCATCTGTGCAATTTGGGCCCAAAAATTGGTCATGCTCTAAAGGTGGCTGTGATGATCGATGGCTTATTTTTTCATCCTCAAAACACACACACACACCTCAGAGAGCAAGCGCACATTTTCCGTGAACACACACGGCAAATGAATAGGTCATTCTTTTGCGCCCCCCCCCTCTAAAATGACACAGCCTAATTTAGAAAGAGCAAGCTTTCTAGACTAGGAGGCCTTTTCTTTCTTTTAACGCCCCCCTTCTAAGCCCTCCCTGTTCATCTATCTTCCATTTGGCCACGCACAAAAGAAGAAATGGCAGATGAAACCATAGATCATGGCCAGGAAGCCAGACACAGCCTAGAGGGAGAGGATGGATGAAAAAAAGAAAGAGAATGAGAGAAAGAGAGAGATTCCATGTAGCCAAAACCATTTGCAGGTCGTCTCTTGGTACACGGTGACAGTACTTGTTGCTCCAGAGCCACATTAAGCCCAGCTGCAGAAGCAAAAGCTCTGCTCATATAGGTTCCATTTCTTAAAGAATGTCTCCCCCACCAAACATAAATGATGTATCGCCATCAAACCAATGAAAGCCCTGTGGGGTATATGTCCATGGTTAATCTGAGTCAGGGTGATGGGGTCATCCCGAACACTGTTTCCATGATAAACGGCATCCTGGGACGCAACATCTGTGGCTATAAAACTGACGGAACACACCTGTAACACCAGATCTAAACTTCTAGTTATTGTGTGAAGCCAATATAGTCTAAATATTCACACCTGTGGCTGCAAATCAATTGAAATGTAATAATATGCCAAGTTGGTCACCATTTGTCGGCAGGTCTTTTTACCAAGTTTCTCTTTAATTTTATTGTCTGCTTACATTTTTATTTATTTTAATTTTTTGTTGTTGCCACTCACCAGAAAAAAATGACCGTGAATTCTTATTTTGTTGCTCACATAAACCTTGTGTACAATTATTGTATAGAACTATTGAAGGGGGAGGGTGTTCTCTATATATTATTAGCTGGTATTGATAAAGCAGGAGGTTTATTAAAGAAACTGTGACATGTGGGTCCGCATCTGGCCATTTCTCTCTCTCTCTCTGACGATTTCCTGTTCTTTTTTTACTGTTTTCATTAATAAAGTGGCAAAAGACCATCAAAAGCAAGTTTTATTAAATCAGACATACTTTCCAAGGCACTGACTCGACAGTATAATCAACAGTATGTCTAATTAGTACTGTGTGCTGACAGTCAGACTCCGCCCCCTCTGATGGAACCGTATGTCACCGCTGCTAAAGACCTGCCATCATTTGTCACAGACTTCGACACAGATATAATCTACAGCTCATAGTTTAAGATCAATTTTGGTTACATACTTAAATTACTCTATAATTAGTTTTAAATGGCAGCTTTTGCCCGAGTTATATAAAGCAACGCCTTGTTAATGTGATAAACAAATAATAAAACATAATAAATGTTTGGTATTTAAGTCACTTAATTTTCCTGTCTTATCCATCTCTTTATTTCACCTCCAATAAATGTCTGTCAAATGCTAATTCAAAATTCCTCCCGTGTTTCTCGCAGGGCAAATATGCGAGAAGAAACGGCTTTCACGGTGCAGAGTGTTATTGAAAGCAAACGCTCACTGCTACATGTCGGTAGAGTCTCCAGCTATGAGCTCAATAAACCTCCTGCTTTATCAATACCAGCACACATTCAAGGATTTGGGTGCATGTCTGTAATGTGCATGGGTTATGGATATCACCATGGCAACATCTGGGCTCTAGAATGGCTCACTTGGTCACTATGTCACGTCTGGACGATTTCCTCAGTAAAATGATGGTGAGAAGGAAAAAGAACAAATGAAGTGTTGTAAAATGACAGAATGGGTAAAAAAAAAGGCTATCAGAGAAGATCAGCTAGCAAAAGAATGAAAATGATGAGTGTGTGAAAGCCATAAATGGCTTTGTCCAGCTGAGAAGTGAACTTTCATTT